CTCGAAAAAAGTGATTGGCATCTTTTTTGGAGCTGAAACACGTGTTTCTGGAGGTTTTTCAGGAGAAGGTTTTAGTGGCAAAAAATACATTTGCATTTTTTTTGCCACATGTCCCTTAAAAGATGCGCAAAAAAACGGTGTCAAAAACCTGGAAAAAAAGAAGATTTTAAAATCGGAAGCAGAAAATTTTATTTAGAGAACGATCGGAATTGATTGCCGACAAGCTTGCTGCATTGCGCGTGATGTTGCATTGTTTTATTCTCGCTCAAAGGCCGGTATGAATAAGCGAATAACGGGACGGGGGGTCGGAATGAAAATGGTATAAATAGCATGAATAACCGGGAAAGGAAGTGGAAAACTTAGGTAATGCGAGTGAGTTAATTCTAGGAAAAGAGAAGAGTTGTCGTGATACATCAAAGATGGGCTGGACACACGAGCGAAAGGGACGGATCGATAGTAAAAAAGCTAACTGGGCAGGATATTCGACAAAAAATTAATTGGACTTTCGGTGTGGTGGTGTGAAGGCGTAATCAGCTAGTAATCGGTGTAGATGAGACCCTTCTCGACGAGGGCATCGCGCTTGCAGTGCTGGCATTGACCTGTAAACGATGGATTTATGGGGCGCCGATATCTCTCTCACTACTCTCTCTTTCTCTTTCCCTCTCCCCTTCTCTACAAGGTGGGCAAAAAAAGATCCGAGTTTGGGTCAAAGTATCTCGCGAACGGTAGAGAATCAAAGGTGCGTTACGATGCCAGAATGCTTGGATATGCTGGGTATGAAGATTTAACACAACTTGATTTTTTCGATTTTTGGCGACGTAGCAATACAAATTACACCCGGAAAATGTGCGTTCCGCAAGACGTCATTTGCATTTTTCTCAGTTTCCTGTGGTGGCTGGGTCCTAATTTTTCCTTTGCATTTTTTTTTAGAATACCTACGGACTATGCACAATCGCATAAACATATTGAAAAAATTTTCGAGATCCACGAATTTTCGAGTTTTTCCACGACCCCTGGTCATGGATTTTTCGAGGTCCCGAAATCGAACTTTGGAAAAATATTTCTAAATTGCCAAAGGGGACTCAGCTGGTTTCTTTGTTTAGCTATGTAGTTCTGGGGTTTATCTATCATCTACAAAATTTCGAGCTACCGTATCTTTATTTATCTTTACCTATCTATCTTTGGAAGGGCGTCTTTTAGGGCCTCCAAAACGGTTGGTTCGCGCTTTTTTCCGAATCTTGTCACCGTTTTATAAAATTTAGTCGCGCTGTGAAAATTAACGTTTTATTTTTAGCTGATATAATTTGAATAGCGCATCCTAAGGCTTTATTCATGCATTTTTTTAGCCAGCCGTTGGCGCCAAGAAAATTCATCAAAACCCGAAATAAACCGAGTTGGAGGTTGCGTAAAAAAAATTTGGGAAGGTGGAGTCGTAGGGATATTTTGAGCAATAAGTCAGTGCCATCACGACAATTAACGATTTTCGTGGTGTTTTTGCCATGGAATCGCTTCAATCTCTTCGTAAAACGAATAGTAGCAGTTTATGGAACATTTGACCAAAAAATTTACAAAATTCTGCCGCAGGATTAAAAAAAATCAGTTTTTAGTCTTTTTCATGGACGTTTGTGGATAGTACGCTCTCGTATTTCGCAGTAAGGTGCCACTACTTATTGCCTAACAACCCAGAAAATTTCAGCCGGATCGAAGCTAGGTGCCCCGAGAAAAGCGGAAAATCGAAACCTACAGTACCCCGCTGGGGCACGTTTTAGCAAGCAATACAAAAATACCATAGATTGTGGTGGAATATGGTGTGGAATCCGAGATTAATATTTGGATAGGTCACTGGCAAAATATCAGCCATTAGTAGTCTGGTAGAAGCGAGTTATGACTCAAAGAACAAAATAACGCAAAATCGCGAAAATTGTTTTGCTTTTAAAAAATGAAATTGACCTCGATAAATTCTAAGATTTTGCCATTACATTTTTACAAATTTATACTATTTTTAGGCCAAAAATCAGAATTTTCCCACCACCCGTTCAAGAACGCACAATTTTCGGTCGTAACCAGCGTCAATAGTACAGTTGCGTACTCAAAAATCGAAAAAATCAAGTTGTGTTAAATCATCATACCCAGCATATTTAAGCATTCTGGCATGGTAACGTACCTTCGATTCTCTACCGTTCGCGAGTTATTTCGACCCAAACTGTGGTCTTTTTTTTTGCACACCCTGTATCTTTCGCGCTCATTCTCTCACGACTCTCTCCCTTTTTCTTTCCCTCTCCCCCTCTCTATCTCTGGCGCTCTCTCTCACTACTCTCTCTACTCTCTCTCACTGCTCTCTCACTACACTCTCTCTTTCTCGCTCTCACTCTTTCTCTTTCCCCTCTCTCATGCAGATAAATGCCTTACGGTTCGGCCGGGCGTGTCCAGGGCAACGTGCGGGACCGTACAGCTTGCACATTTTCCTGGAAAGGCTTTAAGCTGAATTTTATGATCAATTAAATTAACTAAATTAAATTAATTAAACAAATTAATTAAACCGACCAAGTAAATTAAGAAACGCGACTTAAAGGCATTTCTTCCATTTATCGTGGTAAAGCAGCGCTCCCCCTATAAATCGCAAGAACGAGAAAATTATTCACCTGAACCAACTGGCACAATCATGGCACGTTGGCGCAGAAAATAGCGTGGTCGTGTCCTTCATTTTCTTGCACCGAATGCAGATGGCAAGCTCAAAAAGCGGCGGGCTAAATTGCAATTCCCCCCCCCCCCTCCGACCCTGCCGACCCCCACCTACGGTATCTCGGCTCCGCATTATCCTACAGGTGTGTAAAGTATGCCAAATACTCGCCAGAGCTAGGCGAACATTTTGGTATACTTCACAACCTGTAGATGAGCAGCGAGCCGAGATCCAAAAGTTGGGTGCCGGCTAGGGGGTGGGGGGGGGGGGTGCCTGCACTCTAACCAAGAAATGCGGTATTTTTAAACCGTTTCGCCTACAGTCTTGACCCGGCGCTTGCTGGGTGTTTGGAGGATGTGGTTCGGGTCATCTTCAGATTCGGAAGCGTCGGAGGCGTCCGTGTCCCGCCAGTTTTCAGAGCCGTCCGATTCATCCGACGCGTCAGAGCCGATACTTTCCTGAAATCGAATTAGTTGGTGAGCATACCCTGCCCTCTCCTCTTCCTCAACAATCTCTGCTAGCCTGCCATCTCCTCTTCCTCAACAATCTCTGCTAGCCTGCCATCTCCTCTTCCTCAACAATCTCTGCTAGCCTGCCATCTCCTCTTCCTCAACAATCTCTGCTAGCCTGCCCTCTCCTCTTCCTCAACAATCTCTGCTAGCCTGCCATCTCCTCTTCCTCAACAATCTCTGCTAGCATTCCCTCTCCTCTTCCTCAACAATCTCTGCTAGCCTGCCATCTCCTCTTCCTCAACAATCTCTGCTAGCCTGCCCTCTCCTCTTCCTCAACAATATCTGCTAGCCTGCCCTCTCCTCTTCCTCAACAATCTCTGCTAGCCTGCCCTCTCCTCTTCCTCATCAATCTCTGCTAGACATCTGGACAGCTCTTCGAACTGAACGTACAAGTTTGTATTTCGGAGAACCGCACATATATTTATTCGACTTTCTTATAAATGGTTTTTTATTAGCTTAAGAATATTCTTATTTCTAGGGCTTGGTGGACTTGAGGTATTTGGCGGCGGCGGCACGGTCAGCGGCGCGTCCGGCGTCGACGGCATTGTGCTTAAACAAAAGAAAAAGTTTCGCGACAGAACGTGCTCAACACTTGCGTCGCGCCGCGACACGCAGCACCTTCCGCTAGGCCGCCGGTGGTACAAAATTAGGCTTGGCTTAGGCTTGGCTTAGGCTTGGCTTAGGCTTGGCTTAGGCTTGGCTTAGGCTTGGCTTAGGCTTGGCTTAGGCTTGGCTTAGGCTTGGCTTAGGCTTGGCTTAGGCTTGGCTTAGGCTTGGCTTAGGCTTGGCTTAGGCTTGGCTTAGGCTTGGCTTAGGCTTGGCTTAGGCTTGGCTTAGGCTTGGCTGAGGCTTGGCTTAGGCTTGGCTTAGGCTTGGCTTAGGCTTGGCTTAGGCTTGGCTTGGAAAAAGAATTGTTGATGTGAGTTTCGAACTTTTGCCTGAATCGCAAAAAAAGTTTGGTAGTCCGTGGTGTTAGCCACCGCCCCACGCTTACTGGTGGCGTGGAGAGGTCAGAGCGGCTCTTCCCCCGGCGGCCATTTTGGGGGTGGCGCGAGCATCGTGGTCCAAAAATGCTGTTTTTCGTTTTTTAATTTTATAAAATCAGAGACAGCCATTGCGCAAAAGCGAACAACGGGAGCTTGTTCAGAATTCAATTCTCTATCGAATGAGCTAGGTCGCAAAAGGTTTTGCCGATGACACTAAAAGGGCACTCCTTGTTAGGCTTAGGTTAAGCTTATGCCTGGGCATAGGCTTGGAGTTTTGCTTAGGTATACGTCGATTTGCTGCGTGCCCCTGTGCATGCTCTGTATCCATGAAGCCCGCGTCCTTCCGCGCGGTGTGCTTTCCCGTTTCGAGTGTGTAATGTACAGTATTCTAGCACGCATGCTTTATTCATATAAAACGAGCGGGGAGAAGACAGGCGCACAGGTTGCTTGCATAAGGAAGGCGAGTGTAAATTGCTTAATTGGTTGCTGGAGGATGATGAGGAGGACGACGAGTAAGGTGTCCGTGGCCGAGCAGAACGACTACTGTAAAAGTCGATTTGGAGCATAGTGGGCGCATGACTTCTTAACCGGGGGCGAAGTCAAGGCGTATGCTAATTGTAAGCCCACGCGCAAGCCTACGTTAATCCAGGTGTACGCCTATAAGTCTAGTCAACCGTGTAAGCCTGTAAGCCAAGTCCAATCCAAGTCTAAGCCTACTAAATCCGGATTTAGATTCTTGCCTAAGAAATTTTGAGGAAAGGAGCTGGCTAGCAGAGATTGTTGAGGAAGTTGTCTCTCGCTCTCTCGCTAAGTTTCTTCTACCTGATCGGCGGTTTTGTCCTCTTCCTTGTCGCTCTCACTGTCGCTGCTGCCCTTGTCGGTGCGAGGCGAATGCTGCCGGGCGGTCTTGGGGGAGGCTTCGCTCGCCTGGAGGATCAGCACATTCAAGAGCATAAGAGCTAGTATTCGCGTGCTGCCTGAGCCGACTCGCCCACCGCCTGGCCCAGAGCGTGGCCGCTACAGCGGCCCTTTTCCCTTTGTAACGGGGCTAACGATCATTACTTCTACAAGCGTTACTTTAAACATCAAAAGTAAGGGTTGGTGCGGCGGAGTGCAACTTTTTCTACAAATGTGGTCATATTTATCCGCAAAGCGACGCTAAGAATTTTGGAGGTGATGATTGTAGCGGTAACGACTTTTCCAGGCAATCTCCTTCCCAAATCTCCAGCCATTCTTTCTACATAAACCGCACCTGAAGCCTGGCGGTACGCAACTCCTCGCCCTTCTTTTCCGAAGTAGCCGTCTTGCGACTCTTTTTCACCGGCGGGCTGGTAGCGTTGGCGGAACGGGTGTGGGACTGGAATGGGTACATTGACGAAAGTTCGGGCTTGCAAGCCTCAAATTTCGGCTACGAGCGCTGCGCTTGGTTCTGGACTGTTAGCGGGGGAGGGAACTAAATTGTTCCCTGTGATCCTCTACAGCCCTTATAACAAATTTAAACCATTTTTATCGCATTTTACATCGTTTAGATATAAAAACAATAGAAAAAAATTCCGAAATTTGACTGTTTGGTCAAAAATGTATGAAAACTGGGCAAAAAGGGCTAAAATTATCGAAAATTTATTATTTTTTATAGGTGGAAAAAACAGAGAGTGGTTCCCGCCCCCCCCGCTAACAGTCCAGAACCACTCGCGTGGCGCCTTGCTGACTACGTGAACCCTAACTAAGGAAGATTGATGAAGACGCATTGTTCCGAATTAACCCCAGACCTTCTTGCCCGGCTCTCTCTTGACTTCCTTGCTGTTCCGGGTCGGCGCCCCGAGGATCGGCGTGGAGTCGGTGTTCCCATTCTTCGGGGGCGCCTGTAAGAAGGGTTTTGAAGGGGATCCGGGTTGCGCATCTCGGGGTCTCCCTTTTTACCACTGACTACGCTGACTTTACAAATTTGCCAAAAAATTAAATTTCGAATTTTCGGATAAAATATCAAAATGTTCTTTTTTTGATAGTTTTTCGACTTCAATTAGTGTTCAATTGGATCCATTACGCGCTGCAGCCCTGGGTTCTTTCGGAGAGCGATCCTAGAGAGCCCAGTCCTTAATCGTGTCCTCCTTTAACCATTACCACCATGGAGGACGTGGGAAGGACGGGCACCTGCGGCGGCTGCTTGGTCAATTTGTCACCTTCTTCGCCTCCTTTCTTCGGGGTACGACCCAACAGAAACTGAAGAGCAGTGATCAACGTTGGACGTCTGGAGGTCGCTTACGTAATCAGGGGCAGTCACCGAGAGTTTGTAGGGATAGAGGAACAAAGGATCGACGACACTTTCAGCCGAATGAGTGAGCTGGGCCTCCGCGTGTGCAATCTAATCAATTAATTAAGAACCTTTGCGAAAGAAAACCAAAGCGAACGAATCCGCGGAGCTGGATTGTTAGCGGGGGGGGGGGGCTTAGCAGGGTGAAAACCGCTTTCTGTTTTTCCATCTCTACCTGTTGATGATGTATTATGTTTTCAGAGTGTTTTAGTGGTTTTTAATTGACAAAAAAAGTTCAAAAACTATATTTTGAAAATCAAAAAATCGGCGCGTTTTACCTTTTTTGGTTTTTTCATAAATTTTTGGCCACAAGGGCAAAAATGGAAAGCACCCACAGTAGTCTCACTGGCAGACACCTTTTCCTGGAGCTTGCGGAGGTAGTTGTCGAGTTTGACAAACTGGAAAAGAACACTTATTGAGGGTTCCGGCGAGGCGTAGCTAACAATCTGTCCAGAAACTTGACTGACTTTGTTTTTTATCTCGTCGATGCGATTGCGCAGCTCATCCATCCTCTTGACCACAGTGTCCGCGGACTTGCCCACATCAGATGCCGTGAACAAGTTGCCCTAAACAACGACATAAAGGGTGTTCCAAAAAGACCCCCTCTAGCGGGCCGCCGACGCGTCCGATTTTAACGATTGAGGTATCTATCGAAAGCTCCCGAAATGCCGTGTCCAGGTAGCCACTCCGAAACTTCGAACCTTTGAACTTCGGAAATTTTTTTGCTTGCTTTTTCGGCATGTTTCATGCGAAAACGACACGTTTTTTGTAAAAAACTCAATTTAACAGGTTTAAGCGCTATTCGAGCTGGGTTTTCGCAAAAGTCTTTCAAAAATCTGTCGTTGGACTGCCAGGAAAGCCGTAAGCATCTTGAAATTGTGATTTTATGAAAAACCCCTTGCTCGGAATTATAGTAATTCGGCCACGGCGAACACGACTCCTATTAATGTGTGGAGTTGCTCAAAATGCTCAAAGTGCGAATTGCTGCAACAAAGTTTTTTCTGACGCCAAAAATTGCTAGACAAATTTCTACCATATTTTAAAAATGGGAAAAGATCAAGTCGCGATGCCTAAATGTACGATGCGTTTCAAACTCAAATATTTTCTTTTTTCGCTGCTTTTCGATTAAAATGTACTCTAGCCTTATTCTACACAGCAAGAGCTACATTTTGATACCATTGACAGCTCTGTACGTCTAAGGAGCGCCGAGATGCGAAAACTCACTTTGGAACAGCAAAAATTAACTAAAGAAAACCCAGACTTATAATTGTTATAAAAATTTTTCTAACAATTTTTGATGTAAGGAAACAACATGGCTATAGTAATTCGACTACGGCCAACATTTTCAGCCGCTCCACACATTAATAGGACGTATGGTCGAAAAGTTGCGGCGGAGGGGGACTAGTCTTTAGCCTCCAACTCTACCTCAGTGTTCTGCAAACGACCGCCCGAGCTTGGCGTCGACGCAGCCATGAGGGCTGCGGCAAGTTCTTCAACGTCTTCGCCGCCGCATTCAAGCCGGTCCTCCAAGCTGACGAGGCCCTGGGGCGGCGTAGCCTTGTATTTGCGGAACAGCGAGAGAAGGTGGGCGCGCTTATCCATCACCTACATGAAACCGTGAAAACAACATTGGAAGGCCCTACCACTTCCAGCTTGTGGCGGGTGAGGATGCATTCTTCGAGAAGCTGCACGGACCCCGAAGTGGCACCGCCCCAGAAACTGCCGATGGCGCACAAAACTTCCTTCACATCCGGGTTCGTTTCTTCCATAATCCTCTTCAGATCTTTGAGCTCGGCCGCCGCTCCACTCTAAATTGGAAAAATTAGACGAGCTGGTTGGTTAAGCCGTTCTGAACCGCTAACCGGGGCGGGGGGGCAGCAAAAATTTTTCCCAGTTTTCCCATTGCACCTCGTTATTACTTTTTGGTCCAAAAAAACAAAAACAGAACATAAACCATTTTTATAGCATTTTATATAGTTTAAGATATAAAGGTCATAAAAATTTTGGCGAATTTTTTACTTTTTGGTAAAAAATCCATGAAAAATTACCAAAAAAGGGCAAAATATTAGAATTTTCAACAGATTTGAAAATGCTTTTTAAAACAACCAAAAACTACTAAAAACACTATAAAAATAGGTAACATTTCATCAGCAGGTGGGCAGATGGAAAAAAGAAAAGATGGAAAAAAGTGGTAGTCCCCCTCCGCCGCAACTTTTCGACCATACGTCCTATTAATGTGTGGAGCGGCTGAAAATGTTGGCCGTAGTCGAATTACTATAGCCATGTTGTTTCCTTACATCAAAAATTGTTAGAAAAATTTTTATAACAATTATAAGTCTGGGTTTTCTTTAGTTAATTTTTGCTGTTCCAAAGTGAGTTTTCGCATCTCGGCGCTCCTTAGACGTACAGAGCTGTCAATGGTATCAAAATGTAGCTCTTGCTGTGTAGAATAAGGCTAGAGTACATTTGAATCGAAAAGCAGCGAAAAAAGAAAATATTTGAGTTTGAAACGCATCGTACATTTAGGCATCGCGACTTGATCTTTTCCCATTTTTAAAATATGGTAGAAATTTGTCTAGCAATTTTTGGCGTCAGAAAAAACTTTGTTGCAGCAATTCGCACTTTGAGCATTTTGAGCAACTCCACACCATAATAGGAAGTATGGCTGAAAGGTTAGGGCTGGGAGGGTTTCATAGACCGTTACCTTTCCTTGGGACACCCTGTGGCTAAACTCCAGATAACCCCCCCAGCCGACCCCCCACCTACCGTATCTCGGCTCCCTGTTCATCTACAGGTGTGTAAAATATACCAAAATACTCGCCACAGCAAGACGAACATTTTGGTATACTTTACACACCTGTAGATGAACAGGGAGCCAAGATACAAAAGTTGGGTGCCGGCTGGGGGGGGGTTATCTGGAGTCTTACCCACCCTGTAGTTATACAGAACCCATTAATAGCCAAACTCACCGGGAGAATAAACAAAACCCCTTCCGTAGACATCCTTGTAGTAGCGGATGTTGGGAATGGGCAAGGAAGACGGTGAAGATGTACTGTAGCTGACGCGAGAAGCAGGCTCGACGTCACGGAAGACTATAGCCAGAAAACTCGACGGGAGTTTGGGAAAGGACCGACCAATGGATTCGCTGTATTAAATACGTGGGATCGCATGCAAATATCGCATTGTTTCCGTTCAGGCTCGCATGCAAATTTTTACGATTGAATACGCATAAAAAAGTGGAGTTTGGGTCAAAATACCATTATTACTTTACCAGAATGCTTAAATATGCTGGGCATGAAGAAATAACACAGATTGTATTTTTAAGGATTTTTGACGACCCTCGTTTGAAAGTTTTGAGCATTTTGGAAAAAGTTGAAAAATCTTCGAAGCGATAAATTAGGGAACTTTTGATGAGGCAGACTACTTCAAGACTTCAAGGGTATCAAAATGAGGCTCTTGAAGTGCGCTAGCAACGGTACACATAGGATAACGGGGGGGAATAAAATAACGGGGGCACTCGTTATTATGAAATTTGCAATTACTTTGGGAATTTCGATAGAACGTCGAAAAATATACTAAGAGAATTAATTTAAGCCCAAAATAATGCAATGGAAATTTTTTTCTTGAATAAACAAAAATTGAGGAAAATCTATGGGCAGCACATAGGATAACGGGGGGCGGGGGGAAAGTCAAATTTTCGAAATTTTCGAAATTTTCGGTATTTTGAAAACGTCATTCGATAAAGCGTCGAAAACTGCCCTAGGAAAATTAATTTCAGCCCGATATAATGTAAATGAAATTTTTTATCGAATAAACAAAAATTGATCAAAATCCATGGGCAGCACATAGGATAACGGGGGGGAGGGGGGAAGCCACATTTTCGGCGTTTTGAATATTTTCGATATTTTGAAAATGCCATTCGATAGAACATCAAAAAATATACTAACAAGGGAACCACAAGTTGGCACGGTGGAATTTCGAAAAACGCTCGCGGCTACCCCTAGGTTTTCGACGACGGCGATTCCAACGCGCTAGTCAGAATTAGCTAAATCGACCTGTGGACAGAGATACAGCACTTCCGGAAAATGGTCAATTTACATTTGGAGGATTAGCATTCACCTCAGGGTTTATGAGGGCTTCCCATCTCAGAACAATCACCAGTTGAATGGCCGGGTGGTAAGCGGCTAGCTTGTTAGGATACTGACCAGGGTTCGAATCCGTTCACGACTTTTTTGTTTTGCTTTTTGGACGGAAGTTTCGATTTTTTTTCTCATAGTAAAGCTTTTATTCGTTGGTGATGAGGCGGATTCCTGCAAAAACGTTTTGAAATTGCATCTTTCATGCGACGCCCCTTTCAAACAAACGAGTAGCTTTTAAGAAGCTTGTAGTATTGCTCAAAGTTCCGTCCAAAAAGCAAAACAAAAAAGTCGTGAACGGATTCGAACCCTGGTCAGTATCCTAACAAGCTAGCCGCTTACCACCCGGCCATTCAACTGGTGATTGTTCTGAGATGGGAAGACCTCATAAACCCTGAGGTGAATGCTAATCCTCCAAATGTAAATTGACCATTTTCCGGAAGTGCTGTATCTCTGTCCACAGGTCGATTTAGCTAATTCTGACTAGCGCGTTGGAATCGCCGTCGTCGAAAACCTAGGGGTAGCCGCGAGCGTTTTTCGAAATTCCACCGTGCCAACTTGTGGTTCCCTTGTAAGAGATTTTTTTACAACGCGAAAAATGTATTATAAAAGTTTTATAGGCTAAAAACTATTTTTGAAAACTATGGGCAGCACATAGGATAACGGGGGGAAGGGGGGGGGGGATTTTCGGCGTTTTGAATATTTTGGATATTTTGAAAATGCCATTCGATAGAGGACCGAAAAATATACTAAGCGTTTTTTTTACAACCCGAAAAAAGCATATTTAAAAATACTTTTATCATATAAAAAGTTTCTGTGCCCCCCCCGTTATTCCCCCCCCCGTTATTTCCCCCACCCCCCGTTATCCTATGTGTACCCTAGCAACTCCATCGCAAAGATTAGCGATCGGCTTGAATGGCCGTCAATAAGAGCAGCCGGAAAATCCTGATTTTGTGAGTGCAAAGTGAAAGTAAAGTAAAGCAAAGTTTTCGTTTAGAACGGCGAAAATTAGCTTAGAAACATGGTTGCGAGAGTAGGGCGCTCGATATCCCAGTCTCTTACCAAAACCGTTATTTATGAAAAAAAATTGGTGCTGGACTGTTAGCGGGGGGGATTTAGCAGGGGGGACCACTTTCTATTTTCCACCTATTGATGATATACTAGAGTGGCGCTTATTCAAATCAGATTTGAATAAGATTCAAATTATTCAAATCAAGCCGATTTGATTTGAATTGGAGCCGATCAAATCAAATCAAATCGATTTGATTTGAGTTCCACCAGTTCAAATCAAATCCAGCCGATTTGAATAATTTGAATAAGATCTCATCGAAATGAACCCAACGCCACTCGTAATTCGTGCACCGCTCTTTCCCTATAATCTCTTAGCATTGTTCCAGCGTCCCAAGTAACGATTCCTTATACATTTCCTATTGTTTTTACGCTTTAGCTTTTGCAAAGAAAAACCATAGCGCAGGCTAAATTTGACAAATAAAACCGTCTGGCTCAATTTTATATAAAGGTCATCGAAACACCCATGAATTATTGTAAAGGAACCTAAATGTGCAGAAACGGCGAGACCAAAAACCTCCGAACAGACGATTTTCAATTTGCATCCCAGATAAGCCTGTTGTTCAAATCCCAAATCAAATCGATTTGATTTGAGTTGGCCAGCCCCTAATTCAAATCAAATCGATTTGATTTGAAGTTGATTTTTTAGCACTCAAATTTGCCAATTCAAATCAAATCAATTTGAAGCCGATTTGATTTGAATAAGCGCCACTCTATAATATACTATGTATTTTATGGTGTTTTTGGTAGTTTTTCATTGCTAGACGTTATAAGAAAAATTTTTAAAAATTTGAAAATTCGACATTCTTACCTTTTTTGGCTCATCTTACATACATTTTTGAACAAAAAGCAGCAAATTTTTGTACATCTTATTATTTTTATATTGTTATTATGATATCTAAAACTATGTAAAATGCCATAAAAATGGTTTATATTTTGCTATAGGTACGTAGAGAATCCAATAATTCTCCCCCCCCCTCCGTTAACAGTCCAGGACCGAAAAATTCGTGATTTTTTTTGTTTTTTCATCCGGCCTTGATCAGCTTGCATCCACCGACCCCATTGTTGCTCATCTCCTCGATGGGAGGGTTTGGGGATGTATTGGGGGGGGGTCTGTTACTGGGGGGCGGAGCACGAGAGCCAGAATACCGGGAATGAGCACTTTTTCATAAGTACCAGACCGGCCCCTCATGCTCCTATCGTGCCCCGAGGAGGGGCAGGGGGAAGAGGAGCAGGACATGGCAAAAACTCCTTCACCCTGCCTGGCGCCGCACCCCGGCTTCGTTTACCTCCCGCGGCGCGCTGGCGATGGAGATTCTTATTTATCAGGGAGAAAAACCAAATTTTTTTTCCTTGGAATTCTATTTTTCTAATATAATAGGGCAGATGTTTACACACAATTTTTTGCTATTTGTAGACGCAAAAAAATTGTATTAAAACAGCAAAGACATAGATTTTCAGATTAAGAGCGGCTAAGATTTTTATTTAGAAAAGAAGATGTATATATTTTAAATAGTTCACATTTTAGATAGACACCGGAGATGTTGCGAAATTTTCATAAAACAACAATTGAAATACTTAATTATTAATAAAAAATGAAAAATTATAATTACTCTGAAATTATACAAAAAAACGGTTTGCTCTGATAACCACGCCCCCTCCCCGGTAATGCAAAAACACCTATTTTCCTGTTTTAGTCCTCAATCCGACGCAAAATAATGGGGTTTTTTAAGAACATGTAATTATTGTGTAGTGTATAGTTATATTCCGAACTATTTACATCATGGCTCTATGAAATACTTTCGTGAACTCGCGATTTCGATGAAATTTAGGTGATTAAAGTTTAAAGGGGCTGGGAAGGGCCCGAGTGTATTATGTCCAACGGCGTCCCGCGTTTCTGTTAACGACAGCTTATTTTTTGTCATCAACTGTATCTGAATTTTGTGAGTATTCACCAGCCAGCGCAGATTTTTTAACTTAATGGGACTGAGGTTTTGACGCGTCTTATCTATTTAGATCAGCGCAGTTACAACTCAGGGTTCAAAGCGCAGAGTTTTTCGCCATTCCCCTTTTTACAACATTGTGCTTGAAGGAAAATGACGCGCAGTTTCACCCTGGTCCTTGCGCTACTGCTTGAAATGGTGTTCCACCAGATTTTGGATAGAACTACGCGGTACAAATCAGCCTGAGGACATGTTTTTGGAGGAAATGATGTTGCATAGAAAGTGAGTGGAACCGTTTTCACCCCCAAGCCTCCGTCGAGTACGTTACGCACCCATGAACGGCGCCAATTTGTGGATCGGGAATGGGAGAGCGAGTGAGAGAGATAGAGAGAGAGAGCGAGAGAGAGAAAGAGTGAGTGAGAGAGAGGGGATGGAGAGTGAGAGCGAGAGATTGACTGAGAGAGACAATTGCACACGATTTTCCCCGGATGAATCCTGTCTCCACCTCCACATTCTCCTCCTCCTCCTCCTCCTCCTCAGGTTCCAGTTCTGCATATCTGCCATTTACATCTCTAGATGATCGCCCATTCCGCCCTTCTGGAACACCTCCTAAATATTCATCCGCGAATTCCCGGGAAAGCTCATGGATTTTTGATCATATAGCAAGAATTTTAAAAATTTGCGATTCGCATAGATAAACATAATTTTTGGTAAATCTATGTTTTATTCTTAGAGATGGTACCGAGGGGAAAATTTTGGATATGCAGCTCGTTGAGTTCATGTCATATTAACCATATTATATGCTGTCCTTTTGTCCTGTTTCTAGTTATTGTCGGCCTCTTTCTTCAATAATCT